TGTGATGTTTTTCCACTCGCATAGGATTTTCTGTATGTTTCATCTGTTTATTGTCTGATGTGTTTTCCTGCTGTCTTTCTGTCCCCTCCTCCTCTATCATCTTTCAATGACTCCCTTTATTCTTTCCTTCCAAAAAAGTATCAAGGAGGCTTGATGCAAAAAGGGCTTTTGGCCTTATTTTTTTGCTGCTATGCCCGCTGCCCGTGTGTGTGTATGTGTTTGTGTGTGTGAGCAAGAGATCTGTGTGTTCCCTTCTTATTGCAAATTCAGCAGCAAACTCTTACGAGCAAGTGAAGGCTTGCTAAGTGCAGAGAAATGTCACATTAATTCACACACAACACCACACACACACACACACACACACACCACACACGTAACACACACACTAGACAATGCGATGGTGGAGCCTACAGTCTTTTCAACATATATATAAGTGTAGACACTAGCTGATGGGTCTAGATGCTGCACACATAGACACATTGCAAAAACACACACACACAACACATCTGTACTGTACCTGCTATGCTGCATTCGCAGTACAAAGTATAAAGATAAGACTTTATTGATCAATCCCCTAAGGGGAAATTCAAGTGCTGCAGTAGTACAAGAACCAAAGAGACAGGTAAAGATAAGGAAAATAACTATGTGAGATAATATCAGAATTAAATGCTATACTATTATGTGTTATGTGCAACAGCTTTTGACCAGTAGGACAGTTCCAGAAATGCCTCAGAAATTTTAAATGATGACTTGTGATTTAGTATTGAAACATCAACATGTTACATTATAGGTAATCTGATATGTAGTGTAAAATATGTATTACAGAAACCAGGAATTATTTATTTAGTTGAATGCAATAAAAGTGTGAGGATTTGCAAATTTCCTCTGTTTATGTCATGAGTGTCTTTGGGTTGGTCAAACAAAATCTGAGAATACCAGCTTGGGCTCTGGGAACCTGTAACAAGCAATTTCAAAGATTTCTTTTTTTTTAAGACTATATAAAGACAGAAACAGAAATTAACCAATAAATTAACCAAGGAAAATAATCTTTAAACTGGGGAATCACCACTGTAGGTACATTTCCATCTATTTGTTTTTGTGTGCATTTTCAATTTGCACATGAAAAAATCTGAGTGGAGATGTCATTAATTGACTCGAATTGAAATTAAATATTGCAACAACAAAAAAAGCTTGGCTGGGTTGGAAAAGCTGTCATATTGAAAAAGATTGATAAAGATTGATGAAAACAGTTTTTCTTTGAAATATTTGATGGTGTAGACGCTGGTGTCACATCCTCTTGAATATATCTGCATAAAAGGGTAGCTGAAACACACTCACATTTTATTATGTCACAATTTCAAACATTTGCTGAACATCTCAACTATATTTTAATGTAAACTACTGCAATATCTGAGCGGCACGCAAGTACTTGTGTCCAAACAAATAAATGTACAAACACAAGCACCAAAATGATGCCCCTAACGAATACTCTACATACCTGTAAAAATCAATTACTAAAATGATTACCACCTTTAAATGGAAGGAACAAGTCAGAAAGAGGGCATGGAAAAGAAGAGGTTGGAAGAGAGAAAGAAAGAGCAAGAGGAGGAGTGTAAACGAATGGGACAAGGTGCTATCCATCTCTCTGGGTCAGATCGATCACCAAGCAAAAGGATCAGTTACACCCAACTTGTGTGTGTCTGTCTGT